GTTTTCCCATTTTTTTTTAACATGGACTATCACAAGAATACTCCTAGCTTCACTCACTCTTTCTAGGTTTTAGACACTTTTTTTTTCTTCTGATTCCTTTTACTGTAACTTTCAGTAGCATAAACAGTCTAGTTTGTTTTTCTTATTTCTTTGTTTATCTACTTTCACCTGACCAACTCCGCGTAAAAAGTGTTGTTCTTCAGTACACAACCAGACTAACGCCACGAGAAACAATATAAGAACAAAAATAAACTGAAAGCCTTCTGCCCTAGACTCCCAACAATCTCTGGAATATTTTGTAATGAAGAAACTCATAAACATATAATAACCTATTTTGTGACAAATTCTTACATAAATTTCTATTAGCAATCCCTAAAAATGTTTTTCAATGGATTTGAATATCAAAATAATTTGCAGTGCATTATAGAACAAAATTATTAGCGATGAATCTGTATTGAGCATATAGTTAAAATTGGCTCGGTAATTCTTGCATAGATTCCTGGTCATTAAAAATATTTTTCTATAAGCCTTATACCTCCAAAAATTCACTAAAATGAGCGAAGAATGCCGAGAATATGTTCTTAAAATTTTAAGATTACTGAGTACTTAAATAATATATATAAAAGGTGTGCATGTTTTCTTCAATTATTTTACGGCTAGTACATTCGGTAAACATCAAACTGTCATCAAGATAAATATCAACATGTTAACAGCTTAAATAAACAGCTACCACTGTGTTAAAAAAATGCATTCCTGTGGTAATTTTAAACAAGATATTATTTTGTTTCAAATGAGGTTAATTATACTTTAAATCAGCTAATATCCCTCAAATGAAGTTTCCGGAAAGTAGATTTTATTATGGAAGATTTTTAATAAAGCGAATTACATTGTAATGAAAGACGACTAACAACGGGCATTAAAATTCCTTCCGGTTTCTTTAAATTAGTTTTGAAATAGAGAAAAGTTATTTTTGCTTATTGGAAATATTAAATTTAATCAATTAGCTTGAAATTAAAAATAAAAGCTTCAAGAAATATTTTCCATTTGTAAAAATTCATTTTAAACTGCAGGTATCTGTAGTGGTAACTAACTTAAATACAGAAGACTCATTACTATGGATACATTTAATTTTTATATTCAGTCTGTAATGCTTAAATGTATTTCTCGCCATAATTTGTTCCTTTTTGTTTTACAGTGTAGAACAACTAGACTGAGATACAATTTTATATTTCATTCATCAACTCCGGCATTAATTTTATTCAAGTATTTTATCTTTTTGTATAGGTTTGTGACCATCATTCGCAGATTGCTTTCAGTAGGTAGTGTAATAATTACATAATAAGAGATTTTAATTCATTAATTATTTAACAGATTTTTTATTCATTTTGACGAAGGTCACTAATTTCAATTTTTTTTTTCCTGTTCTTTCCACATCTCTGAATTTATTAACACATAATTTATTCCTGGAACTGCTAGGTAAACTTGCAATATTCGGGGAAAGACATTAGCACAATCCAGGATATACACTGACAGCAAACGGCTTCCATACCGATAGAAACTGAATTCAGTAAATCTAAAAAAAAAAAAAAATAGAAAGGTGCGTAAGAAAAGAATGCGTCGTCTCACCAAACTTAACTTATCCAGTGAGTCGATTCCGGAAGAAATTAGAAGTACAACCAGGATTCATTATTAGCGGCCACAATCTTACCAAAGTTTGATATGCAGATGACTCGGTTTTCAAAACAAAAACGAGAATGAATCTTCAAGAACTCTTACAGAAGGCATAGAAGGAAAGCAAGAAGAAAGGAGTAATTAGCAGTTCCAAGAAAAGATCGCCATCAACAAAAGAAACAGTAAAATGCAAATTGGAGATTACCAAAAAACTCAAGCAAGTTTAACAGTAAAGAATTTCCTGTAGATAGATATACACCTGAGGAAGGCCGGTGAGCACAACGGCAGAAAAGCTGCGATATTATTAACGAACATGAGGACATTAGTTTGAGTATAAATACTATGAATAATGATAACTCCACATCTTTAAAGTTCAAACAGAAATTATCTGGGTTGTGTTTTAACAGAGGATGGAAAGTACGACACCGAAAGCAGAAGGCGTATTCAGATAGTGAAAGATGACTTTCAAAAGCTAAGCAAAATACGAAGAAACAGGAAAGTCTTATAGGAAACAATAAAAAGAGTAGAGATCTGTTATATAATATCAGTCCTCCTATATGGCAGTGAATACACAGATAAAGAATAAAAATAAAAGGACAGAAATGTGGTTCTACAGAAGGATACTGAGAATACCATGGACTGAATATATGAGCAACTACGCAGAAAATGGAAACAAAAAGCACACCAACACTTAACATCAGCAAGAAACAGTTGAAATTTTTAGAGCATATAATGAGGAAAGATGACTTGGAAAATTTGACGCTCACAGGATATTGACGAAAAGAGTGACAGTGCATAACATACCTAACAAGATTGTGTAAATGAATAGCAGAAAAGTGTTTAGGACAGATAAAAAAAGGCAAAATTTACTAATATCTACAATGGACAGGAAATTGTAAAAGCCATGATCGCCAACGCCATTAAAAGAGAACGCCACAAGAAGAAAGTCCAATTTACTACAGTTTTTTTTTAAATTAAAACTCAAATTAATGCTAGAATATTAGATCTTCAAAATATTTAAAAACTATTTATGTTCAAAGTGATCCCAAAAGAAAATTCGTAATTCTGTTCTCATTTCAAAATAAAAACTTTATAATATGATATTCACTGGACATATTGAAGGCGAAAGAGACAAAAGAGAAAGTAAAGGATCTTGTGAGCTGTTGTAAAAAGAAAGCAGAAAAGAGAGAAGGGAAAAGGATTGTAAAAAGACAAGTAATTCTGAAAACTGGAAATGATAGGAAGTAGTGAAGAGGCATGAATACGCACTGCGTGAAAAAACATGGTAAATTCAAGATGAAGAACAAGAATTTTAAAGTGAAAAATAATATAAAATTCAAATTTCAAGAAATATTTTTTTTTAATAACGTTATGTGTCTTAAACCTTTGAGCCATACGTTTCTGAACAAATTTAACTCTTCTGCCTGAGATCATGGGTCAAAATTCGCAAATAATTGGTATGTAATGTTTCACGGTAGATATAAAAATAGTTACAAATGTTTACACACCGTCCAACCGGTGATTGGGCATTAAGTTATTTTTCTCTACTACTGTTCAACCGGTTGCTGAGCATTACGTCATTTTCTCTACCACCTGTAAAGCGGTGGTCAGGGGTCAAAGGGTTAACGGTTATGACACTACGACATCTCATTCATTAGGAGTTATTGTGAAAAGCATGGTTGATCTAAGGTTACTTTGAGAAGTTTAGGTTCAATTATTCAGAGGTTACAATTGCGATAATTGTTTGATTATTAAGAGTTGCTTTCTTAATTTATTAATTCACATTTGTGATCCTCGGTTAAATTATTATGAGTTATACACGTGATCTACTGTTTAATTATTAGGAATCACATTTGCAATCTCTGATTCAATTAATAAGATACCATTTAGCAATCTGCGGTTCATTTATTAAGTATTGCATTAGTAAACATCGGTTCAATTATTGAGAATTGGAATAGCAATCGTATGTTCTGTTATTAAGAATAGCATTAGCAATCTTCGGTTGAATTATTAAGAATTTCATCAGCAAAATTGGCTTCAATTATTAAGAATTGCATTAGCAAGCATCAGTTCAATTATTAAGAATTGCATTTAAAATCTACAGTTCAATTATTAAGAATTGCAACATCAATCTCCAATTCACTTATTAATAGTTACACTTTTGATCCACCATTTAATTATTGTGAGTTATATATGCGATCTTCGGTCCATCTAATATGAGTTACATTTGCGATACATTAAATATGAAGTGTTGTATGTTTGATCTTCTGTTCAATTATTAAGTTTTGCTTTTGCAATCTTTGGTTCAATTTTTCTAGATATTCTAGAAAATTTCGCTTCAGTTACGAATAAATACTGAAATTTAATTTCGACTTACGCTCAAACAAGTTATGTAACCACTGATTCTTTGTTTTGTATTATATATAGTCTGCTATGAAACTAGGGAAAATATGCTACTTTATTCACGGTGAACATATCATTCATTATAGTTCTTCTAGATTGGTGTCCACCCAAGTCTAGACATGCTAGTGTTTAACTTGTAGCGTTGGAGGTGACAATTGATTCTTGCCTTTCTCAAAGTCCTTGGTATGAAAGTGAATGCTTCTGAAATTAAACTTGCCTTTCGATCTAGATTTAAGCGCTGGTAACTGCTACGCACAAGCATGTCGCTTGAGAGACTATACCGCATCTATTTTAACGGTACAACGAAATGATCAAACAAGAATTAACAGATGTTATTTTAACTACATGCGCTCTGCAGACGACACTGGCTTGATGACCGTTTCAAGCCAAAAACCGAAAGAACAATTAGAAAGTAGTCGATCAAATCAAGAAGAATGAAACAACTATAAATGTAAGCAAAGAATACTTGAGTGTTAGCAAAAGGGGTAGCACTAAGTATGGTTTACATATCGGGGATCAAAATCATAGATTCCGCTAGGATAAAAAACAGAAAATCTAACACTGGTATCAAAAGTTATTTTTCAAAAACAACAATATTAATGATTAAAAAATGTATTTCGAAAGAAAAAAAATGAATGTTAAATTGATTGATTTGTCTTTTTACGGTTTATTAAAATTTATGTTTATAGATTATTTGATGCTAGAAAATATTTTTAGATATAGATATTTTTTTGAGATAATAATGATTTTTGCTTATACAATTTTTATAATTAAACCGTAACTTGAGGAGTAGAGAGGGTTCCATACATTTCCCATTGTTATTTGCGCGTAAGTAAATATAAATAACTAGACTGAAATTTGAACTCGGTTCTGTGATGTCCCATTCCGAGTCGTAACCATCACACCACCCGTACATCTGCGCTTATAGTACCAGGTATTCCCAAGCAATCACCCACTTAGGTACTGACCGGGCTCGACGTTTATTAACTTCAGAGATCATACGATAACCGGTCTTTCAATGTTGTATGACCGTAGAGTAACAAATTCCGTTAGACTGCAAGACCATATTTGCTCTTCTCTGCCGCTGGGAATGATAGAAATGTCTGTCACATATTGAGAAAATACGGAGAACATTTTTGGCTATGAGGAAAATAATATTCACAAATTGTGTAAAAAATTAAATATTTTTCATGAGAAACAGTCGAAACTGCTGCTAACGATTCTTAAGTAACAGACGAGAATTTTTCAATATATTTTTTCTTTCTTCTTCTACCGTAAGGTTAACTCTAAACAAGGCACAAGAACTACTCGAGGTAGAAGGTTAGGTTAAGGGGTAGCTTAAATGGATGGGAGTGTAAGATAATGGTTAACTCTAGACTTGAACAGGTTCCGACTGCCATCATCGAGAAACATCCTCTTTGGGATTCATTTCACAGAGCAGTGGTTCGCGTGAAGAAGCTGTTTGAGCGGAACTTACTTCTCGCCGATGGAATACTGGGGGAATGTAGGTGGTTTGTTACTATGTAAGTGGCATGGCGGATCCTAGTCGTTAAGGTTAGTCCTGACGCAACCAAGGAATGTAGTTCGTCGGAGTACTTTCAATGATATTAGCGATAGAGTAAATGAGAGATCCGCCACATCCCGCCTGTAAGAGAAAGGTTGGAAGTTGGAAAATAATTCGTCACCCAACAAAACTGTCAGACGCTTTTGAACTTAATCAAAACTGGAATTTGAGAACCGGGCAGTTCCCGGCCAAATATGGCAAGTGTACTCCATTTTCGGCTTGATGTATTTATAACGACTCACTAAGCGAAATTATGAAGAACCCTGTGAGGAATGATTCCTTGATTTGTTTGCTTAATGGCATATCAACTATTTATGGGTCATTTAATCCCGAAATTAAATATTCTAGGAAGCTTTGAAGTAATAAAAATATGATATACATTATTCTGCTTTCACAATTGAATACATGGTAGCTTACTCTTAGCTTTTGTGCATGTACGGATTTGTGCGAACATGATTACTAGAGGCGGTGATATGTGTATACTTTTGAAGTTATATTTTCGAATACCGTTTGATTTAAGAGATTATAAGACATTACATGGACTAATATGATGAAAGAGTTCTTCCATCTTTGCTGGTTAATTTTGTTTAGCGATATATCAAACCTTATGCGTTATTTAATGTGGAAGTCTAAATATTTTGGACGTAATTTTATGCCTTCAACTACAGATATTTTGTACAGATTTTTATACTTTCAGTGTAATGGTGTTTTTTAGATATATATTAGGTAGATCATAAAATGTATTATTGGTAATTTTATTATAAAATGAATTTTCATATTTTAGTAATCCATTGCTTTTCATTCTGCTATAAAAATATAACGTTGGCCATAAAAATGTATTGTTGATTTTTTTTTCCTGGGGTTTACTATTTTCCCATAACTGGGACCATAACAGGTGTTACTACTTCTAGTCAGGGTGGACCTGGAATCAACAAGAATTATGAGGTGATTCCACGCTACTTAGAACCGCCAATCTCCCGATGAGAGGGCTTGCTACCACATGTAGTTACCCAGTTAGACTAGAACTCACTATTCGGTTGTAAATGATCTAACCAGACAAACTTGCTGACCATTACACCACGTCGAAGTACGATATATAATCTATAAAAGGCAGGATGTGTGTGTGTGTGTACGTGTGTGTGTGTGTACGTGTGTGTGTGTGTGTGTGTGTGTAACGAATGCACGGACGCAATTTTTGACAGATTTGCACCACAATTTACATGCACATGCTCCAAGTTAGCGAGAAGGCCAAGACCGACTTTGCATTTCCCAACTCACATCGATAGTCAAAATAATCGATTTTTTCATGCTTCTACGGCCGCTTTCATGTAGTTTGCGGCCATTTTCTACTGGCCAGAGTGAGAGCCAATAGCTGGCTGCTGCGAATAGGCAGGAAGATTCTATTGGCCAACGTGAGAGCCAACAGCTGACTGACACGAATGTTATCTGGCATGCTAGCATGCAAAAAAAAATCGATAGCTGCATTCGTCACAAGTGGGAAAAATTTAAATCTGCATGGCACTTTACTCCAATTGGCTCCTTCGCTTGTTTAAACTCAACGTTGGTTCTGATTCCGTAGAACTGGGTTGGGTGTGAAAAAGTATTTGTTGTTCGGTTTTACCAATTACGAGACTTTTTTTTAAAGCTGATCGTTTTGTGTTCATTTTGTTTAGTTCTTTTTTCGTAACAGATTTAATGTTTAGTATAGAGCTTAGAAAAAATTCGCAGTGTGAGATAGGCAAGAAGTAAGGCATGTAGCAACATCAGCACGGCAAAGGGCACTCTTTTAAAGGCAGGGAAGGGCAAAAATAATTCAAGTCAAGTGATAGCTATTGCTGTATGAGTCGTACGATTTTTGAATGAAGCACGGGAAACGCCGGCCCATGCTGCTAGTATGTAATAAGAAATAAAGCTTAGAGGAATTTACATTAACATAGTACACTGAAGACAAATAAATCAGAGGAAAACAGCGAGAAACGAACTTGACGATCGTGAGTAAATCGATAGGGAAACATTGACCACAAAGAGAAAGAGTGTTTGTCAAGGAAGAAGTAATTCTTAGAACATCAAAAGACAGGAAGCTGTACCTAGCTATGACCATTCACGTCCTAGAGGGAATTGGCACATCTAGAAATGCTTAAAGTAGAAATATTATTGTCTTTCAAAGTTTAATAGACCTGCACTTGTTATAGTTAAATTGACACAATAGGTTTCATCACTATCAAAGTTCACTATAATGGACGATTACAAGTTTTTCAAAATCGAATATTGAAAATGTGATACATAATAATACAATGAATTCAAAACCGTGGAAAAGAGAAAGGAAATTTAAACCATTATCTTTCTCAACAAGTCTTGGGAATTTACTGATAATAAAGAAAATTACTTTACGCAGGGGGCATGTTAGCTTATGTTATGAAGGTACCTAAAATATGCATCCACAAACATTATAATAAACGGAATCATAAATAATTCCCGCTTACGTTGAAACACCGGCACCCATAAAATCAACGAAGTTAAGCAATACTGAGCTTGGCCAGTACCGAGATGGGTGACCGCTTGTGAATACCAGATGCTGTAAGCTTGGCTGCGTGTGTTGTGTAATGGGTAAAGACTAAAGGTTATTCATCGGAGAGCCGAGTTCCAATTTACGTTGTGTTCGTTATAATCACTTACATTTATTTGGAAAAGGTATCACAGACCTCTACTCCCCCATCTATGGGTTAATTATTAAATGCTGTATCTTAAAAAAATTTAGAATCTAAACATCCATCAAACATGGCACGTGGAACTGGAACAGTCTACCCCAGTGAGCGAAATAAAGTGTTCAGTTCGATATTCCAACCACCTGAAGAAGGCCGGAGCGTACAACCGCCGAAACGTTGTGATAAATATGGGGACAAAGATGAGGACAATAGTCCGAATAATGTACATAATACCTCGTCTCAGAAATATAGACAGAACCTGCAAAGGGTTGATAAGCCGTAAAAAACGGATTAATCAATCAATAAATAATTTCCGTTTTTTTTTTTGTAACTATTAGAGTCCATTCCCCAAAACGGAAATTATTTTTGATTCAACCCAATATTTACTCTATCAGTCTGGCAACATTCGCTATCTATTGTTCACACACAAAACAAACTATAGAATTATTGACGTATGCTAATTTTTTATACTTACTTTTATTATTGTCCATATATACAACTATTAAATTTGGCTATCGAGAACAGCTGTCGGCAAATAAGAGTATATTGCCACAGATGGCAGAAACACTGTAGGTAATGAAGAGGTAATCAAATTTTGCCTGAACAAATCGTGTCTAAAATTCCCAGTTACCGTCCAACCAATCTAAAACTATTTTTTCTAATTTAAAACTAGTTTGTTTCTAATCTTCAACTCGCTTTTCTTCTATATTCTAGAAATAAAAATGTTGCAGACAATTCAAGTAGAGTTAATTGATTTACTTTTATCTTTTCATAGTTGCTGTATCGTTTGATTCTGTCGGCTTACTCACTATCCCAAGGTGTAGAGCGTGCTTCTTTAGAAAATCGTAATACAATTATTTATATTCTTTTTTTTTTTTTTTAAATCTATATAAATTTTCGACAAACTAAAGGAGTATCCTGCTTTGGTCAGTCGAGGTCGGCTTTTGTTTCAGCAAGACAATGCGAGATCACATATTGTCAGGTTGATTAAAGAGTAGTTGATATTCTTCCACATCCACGATTAAGTTCAGCGCACTTCCTTCGCAACCTATGAAGGGAGCTTGTTTACAGTTTTTTGATTCAAAGCCATAGGATTAGTATGTTGGACAGATTCGAATGTTGGCTTATTGCTGGCGGAAGATCGAGTTTATTTTGAAGAATAAATGTTGGTGTTCTAGCGTCAGGAGTTTCTAGCTACCTAATGTTTCAGTTAATTTTAAATGACTTTATGAACATATGTAATATTTCAGGGTAAAGACATCACTTGAAATACTCGCAATGGAGTAAAAGCAAATAGTATTTGCTCTCCGTTTTTCTTTCTCGAAAGGACGGTGAACGGATGTTTCCTCGAGGAGGTACGTGCCTTGAGAGAATATTGGACCTGAAACTTACAACCGATCTCAAGTGGAATTCTTATATACGATCTATCTTTAAAAATGAAGAAATATGATCGGCTCACTGTACCGCTCCTGTAAGTACTATACTCTACCATTATCAGCGTAAGATCAGGCCGAGTCCTGTTGTCATATTTTGGCGAGAGTTTCCCAGTCCTCACTGTCTAGTCTTGATAGAGTCCACAAGTGTCTCCGAGTCTTTGCTGAAGAAGAATTATTTTCTAACCTCTCTCTCTCTCTCTCAAAGGCGAGATGTGGTGAGACACTCACTGTTCTATCGCTACTTCCATGAAAGCGTCCTGGGTAAGACGTTAAACTACATTCGCGTCCTGGGTAAGACGTTAAACTACATACGCGTCCTGGGTAAGACGATAAACTACATACGCGTCCTGGGTAAGACGATAAACTACGTCCAGCGTGGAACCACCTCTTAATTACTGGTGTTCCCAGGTCCACCCTGACCCGGGGTGGTAGCACCTGTTAGTGTCCCAGCTATGGGCAAATAGTTAACCATTACCAGCAATACTTTTTTGAACAAGATTATTACCAGCAATACAATTTGGAAGGAAAAATATTACTAGAAACAGATTTTTGACAAGACAAAATATTACCAGCAATAAAAAATTTTGTCAGCATTAAATAACCCATTGAGGTTGATATACCGGAAAACAAAATAAACCAAACCAAACCAAATTTCCATGAAAAGTGCTCCGACTAACTACATTCCTTGATTCCGGCAGGCCTGACGTTTACGGCTGGGACCCAACATATCTCTTACATTGTAGCAAACGACCCACATTCCCTTCGTATTCTATCGGGCAAGAAAACAAAAGCTCTATTTGAACAGCTTCTCCCCGAGAACTAGTGCTCTGTGGAACAGATTTCTAAGATGTTTCTCCGATCAGTATAATCTGAACCTGTTCAAGTCTAGAATTAATCGTTATTTTCCCCACATATCCATGTAAATTTCCCTTTTAAGTAATCCTCTACCTTGAGTGGCTCCTGGGCCTTGTTCAAGTAAACTTTACTGAAAAGACGAAAGTAAAGAATTTGAAAACCGAGAAATCTGACATGTTGCGTTAATTCGCCCTGTAAGTGTTGGGTATGGCCTCCTTTGAATGAGATCTCAGACTGAGCATTCACTGCAACTAATCATCTATCAGACGCTCACGGTCTATCCAGGTGGCTAGATCAGGGAGCGTGGTCCAGAGAATGGATGTTAATACTATTGTTCTCGAATAGTTAACATTTTGATCAGTACAGTATTTTCAATGATGTCCTTTCTCTATACATATATATGTGCGTTTGTGTGTGCATGCGTGTGTGTGTAAATATATATATATATATATATATATATATATATATATATATATATATATATATATATATATATGTATGTGTGTGTGTGTGTGTAAAAGTCGAAACTGAGGTCTACCCACAGCAGCAACAGTTAATTTCATACTAAAACGCAGTCTTCTGGGAATGAAGATTGTGCATAAGCATGAAACTGTTCTTCGAATAATTAACAACAGTTTGATTGGCGCAATATTTTCGATCAAGTCCTCTATCTCACTTTCTTTCCTTCTTTATATATGCATATATATATATATATATATATATATATATATATATATATATATATATATATATATGTTTTAGAAAAATGAACGCAACAATTTTCGTCCTAGAAAAATATGACACTGATGATGACATTTTGCTAATGTCGAAAACACTCGAAATAAAATGAATATGCATCAACATCGTAATTCTGACTTACCATAACAAGCAGTGACTACACACAACTAGATACACACACCATCCACAAAGGAATATACGTTATCATGAGAATTCTGCATAGACAACTACAATCATGATGCATTTACACACATACATTTAGACTCGAACGCTGCTCATATTGAAACTATTGAAATATTTTAACCAATGAAAAACAATAACAGAAATTAAAAATAACAATTTTTTTCGCTTTTTTTCTTTCTTCTCCATATCTCATATTGTCAAGGCAAAGGTTGTTTTTTTTTACTTTGATAAAAGAATTGTCTTGAATTCAACAGAATTATAGGACAAGGAACAAATAGGAAACGTTTATAACTCTAACATGTTTCGACTTTTATTAAAGCTTTAATAAAAGTCGAAACATGTTAGAGTTATAAACGTTTCCTATTTGTTCCTTGTCCTATAATTCTGTTGAATTCAAGACAATTCTTTTATCAAAGTAAAAAAAAAACAACCTTTGCCTTGACAAAGTCCTTCATAGGACGAAATATGTCGGTTAAAATAAGTTTTCCTTTTCCTTTATTCATATTAACCGTTTACAGATATAATCTACCTGAAAATGTTACAGATGCACACATATATGTGTGTGCGAAATTCTTTGGGAATTCGCTTGAAGATGGAACAGAGCTTACTTTAATTCAATTTAATTCAAATAATTATATTGAAGTTTTCGGCTCTTGTTTTGAAACATGAGCACTCTTATGTAGCGTGTTGGAATCATATTTTTAAATGAATAATTATATTTATGCTCTACTTTTGTATCGAGCACTGTTTTTTAAAATAATAACAAAAATACTAAAGAACTTTTGGATTATTTACCTAACAAGTTCTTTCCTATTTTCTATATATTTTTACACACACACACACACACACACACACACACACACACACACACACACACATATATATATATATATATATATATATATATATATATATATAAAAATAAATATCAATTTTATATATATATATATATATATATATATGAATTTCACACACACACACATATATATATATATATATATATTATTTATTTTGTTTTATCAGTTCGCCCCCCCACCCCCGAAGATGATCTTGGATGAGATTGAAAGTACTTGAGAAATAAAAGAAATAACCAAAACTATGGCGTATTTCTTAAAAAAAATGACATCACGTGCCCAGATTATTCAATCAAGCATGTTTGAGCATATATATATATATATATATATATATATATGACTAATAGACTACTTGCCAAAAGCCCTATGAAGACGTAAGGAAAACCATAGAAATGACAAAAATTGCTAAGATTAAAAGACCAAAAGTCTAACACTGACCTGAACATTAAATCAATTTTCTCAACGCCTAGGATATCCAGACAGCGTCACCCACAACGACGAACAGCTCAAACTGTTACTGAAAGTTTATGCTCTTGCGATCTTGAAGACAATCTATATATATCAAAATGAATGGCTATATCACTGACACTCGTATGACCTAATAGTTTACATCAAAATGTGTGTTTTAAAGTGTGTTGCATTAGTCAGAACGGGTTTTCATAAGCTTATGAACAGACACACATATACGCAAATAGATAGATAGATAGATATTAACAGAATGAGATAGATAGTTATGAACAGAATGAGATAGATAGATAGATAGATATGAACAGACTGCAGTAGATCGATCTGAACAGACTGAGATAGATAG